GGTCTTCCAAGTGGGCTTCTGTCCTACTATCTGGTTCCCATGATTTATATGGCCTAAGGACTTATCTTGGGTTCACACCACCCGGTATCGGTTTGTGTTTCTTTGTACAACATTGCATGAATGCCTAGACCTTCCAGTTAGGCTGGTATGACACAGGTTACAGGTATCCTATCACAACCAATCACAGAAGACAGTTAGCCATAACACAGAAAGAATTGCAAATTTTTGCCATCACTAGAATTTGAACTCTAGACCTGCCACTTGGGAGTTGACAACCTATCCACTTCACTAGGTTGCCATACCTTCTTAGACCCCTACTACTATTAACTCCATTTGCTTAAAATATAATGTAATTTCTATTATATACTTATTTATTTTCTTGATTATTCCTATATGTTTTGCCTATTGTTCTTTTATTAGCACTCCTACACCTAAACCTTTCTTCTTGTCTTCTGCTGCACTGCTCTAATAATCTATATATCTTTTTGTTATCTTGTGTACAAAAATTTCTTTTTCTTTTTGTAAAATTTATTTTTATAATTTCTAGTATTGTAATTTTCTCTTCTTTTGACTAGCTAAGCAGATTATTAAGCTTCTAACTTTTGGTTTTTAATCTATTAACATTATGACATGTGACTCTTATTTTTTTTTTCCTTTTTTCTACTTTTTTTTTAATTAGTTTTGTAATATTTCTATATTAAATGCTCTTTCTTTTTCTTTTTTGCTTTTTCTTTCTTTTTGATGAGGCAGTAATGTTTTTTTTTTAAATACTTCTTTTTCTTTTTATAGAAAATTCTCAAGTTCTTTATTTGTTCTTATTAATTCAACTGAGGCACCTTTAGGGGTGATTTAGTTGGCCTTTTCTTCAGCTATCTCTAATCTTTTTAGTTTGTATAGTATTTGGCCTAATATGTTCTCTATATCTGATGTTTGTTTCTGTATCTTCTTTATATTTTCAGTTTCTTCTTTTGGTCTTTTTTCTTCTTGATCTGTATTTGCTAAATTTTTTTTTTACTTTTTTTGTTCTAATAGCTTCTACTTTTTTGCTTATTTCTTTTATTTTTTGATTTTATGCTGTGTTTATTTCTTTTTATATACTTTACTATATCTATAAGCTCTACTTCTGAGCAAGGTCTTTTATCTTTTTTTTTTGTATCTTTTGTGTCTTGCTACTATTTCTGTAAAATTCTCTGTTTAATCTTTTTGTTTTAATTTCTTAGAACATCAAAACTTTATTGTACCAGATCTTTTTTTTGGTAATTATATTTATATCACTTAACTTTTGAATGATACTATTATGTAACTTTTTGGTCTTTTCCATATGTTTGATAGAATGTATACTGCCATTGTTTTTATAGTTTTGAGTCTTGTAATAGAATTAGTTTAGAGATTCCTTTTGGTATTTCTTTTAATTTTGCCATAAATTGGTTTTTTTCTTCTTTCTTTTTTTCTTCTTCTTTATCTGTTATCATTTTTGTCAATCTTTTGTTTCTTAAAAAAAATATCTATAGAAATGCTTGCTTCTCTTCTTACTTTACTTTTATCATTGCTATTGTTCTAAATATGTTTTTTCAAACCTTGCATCTTATTACTTTACCTATCTTTCTTACTAGATATTTGATCTTATATTTGGTTATCTTCTTTCATAGTTTTTATAATTTAATGTTACTATATTTTCTTTACTTTCTTTATTTGTATTTTCTTTTTCTTGATTAATAGAATTGTCTTCTGTTTTCTTGGCTTCTTTTTTATTTTTTTTTCTTCTGCAGTTCACCTTTTTGTTTTAATTTCAATTACTCTTTAATTTCCTCTTCTTCTGATTTATCTATATTTGAAATCATTCTAAACCAATCATTGTATTTATTTTATTTTTTATTAATTGCCTCTTTTCTGTTATATTTGCAGTCAAATATGAAATAATTCAAGCATTATCTCTTTTAAGCAGTTCTTTAACATCTTTAATATGTATGTTGAACACTAGCAATCTTTTAACAAATTTTACTCTTTCTTCTTATAAACTACCTAATACATTGTATGTTAGTATTTTTGCTATATATATTTTTTCATTATCACATTCTCTGTTCACAAAAAATCAAATGCTTTGTTTTAATAGTACTTCTGTAATATTATTTTTGTTTTTCCTTGTTTGGTTTTATAAATTTTTTTTTTTACTCTTTTTACTTTCTTCTTAGTTTTTATTGCTATAATGATATCTTTATAGTACTGCTATACTATCTTTATCTTTAATGCTTTAATTTCTTCTTCTATATAGTTGTCTGTTGTTTTGTTTTCAATCATTATACTTATTTGTTTCTACATCTGTGACTTCTTTGCTTTTTCTTCTTTTTATTTTTTTTTCTCTTCTAAACTTGTATTTTATTTTAGCTCTTTTTTGTTTATTACTATATCTACTGCTTCTGTCTTTTGTTTTATTTTTTCTATATACATTTCTGGTGTGTTGATTTTTCTTTTAGTATTGTTTGAACTTTTTTGCTTCTCATATTTTACACTGCTAGTGAATGTTGGCTCATGTGATTTATCTCTTCTGCCCACTTTTCTACACTTATCAGATTCTTTATATCTACTTTAATTATTGCTTCATATATTTTTCTTAACATTACTGTTTTCATTAGATCTGTTTTCTATAGTGCTGCTGCTACTATATCTCTTATATTAAAATGGTTGTCTCTATTTGCTAGTTCTTGTTCTAATTCTTTGCTGCCTATAAGCTTTAGTTCTGTCACTGCTCCTTTACTTACTAATTTTAGTATCATTAACTCTAGTTTTGTTTGTCATTCTTTAGCTGTGTTTTGTGCTATTTTTTAGTTTGTTTACAATTATATACACTCTGTAATACTTATATATTTATTTTATTTATATTTGTACATGTTTGTTTGTTTGTCTTTTTATATGCTTATGTATTTTAAACAGATCTGTGATTTTAAGTCTAAGCTATTTTTATAAAATTTTTATTTTTTTAGGTCTATTTGATAAGTTTGTCTTTTCTTTACTTGTTACTTGGCTTGTTTTCTTCTACTGCTCTACTCATTAGATCAATTTCTGATATTCTTTTTTGTTAAGTTTTCAAATATAGTTTTGACAATAGCTTTTCTGTTAGTCTTGATTTTGTTTCTGTAGGGTTTTGTGTTTTGATGATCAGTAGAAAAAATATAGATCTATAAATGTTTTGATTATATTGAATATAATATTTACTTAGTTTTTTCAATTTCAAAGTTATTTATATGAAAAAATATATCATAATAAGCAAATCTTTATAAGAATACAGTATAAATGCAATTAGTTTATATTGCAAATATAATTGTATTTGATAGATATTCAACAAGGTGGCAGTGAATATGAGTAATAATATTAGAATATTTTTTTATACAATGCATAAACCAACTAAGCATACATAATAACCTAATTACAACAATTGAATTCTAATAAAATAAAAACTATTCAATGTTTGAAATATATAAAATCTAATCTAATATTAATAAAATAATAAGTATTATTTGTATCTTACAGCTTCAATAAGATTTTTTGCAATTTCAAATGCAATCAGCATATAGCTCTTTTAAGCAGTACTGAATATATGAAAGAAGGCATTGAAGATGTTATGACCAGGAAGGTGACAAAAAGAAAGCTTACTGAATTTTGTTTCAGCAGAAGTAAAGAGGTAAATGGCTAACCAATTATCTTGATTTTGGATAATAGTTTATTAGAATATGTAGTCTCTATTGAATTTCTAAAGGTTGCTAAAATGATTATCAACTGTCTGTCTACAGTAATGATAGTAGAAGTGCAAGGTAAGCAGAAGAGGTCTTTAGATAAGATTAAAAAATTTTCTGTAACTCTAAAATAAAAGACTATAACATCTTGAGCTGTTATAACTATGCAGAAAACTATACTATAATAGTAAAAAATAACTGAATAAAAAAGGTTTAGGCATGTTTAGATTAGAAATCTTGTAAGTTAATAATATGAGATGGCAATAAGAAGATAAAGGTTTTAATAAAATATTGTAAGCTGAACCACATTTAGGACCGAATCCTATTATAAAAAAAAAAAAAAAAAAGCTAAAAAAGAAAATGAAGGCTCTGATGATGATATTAGTAATAGTAATAATGATAACAATGAATCAGAAGCTGATAATAAGAATGAGTATAACAAAGAAGAAGGTTTGGTCATTATATATACTTGTATTTCAGTTTTATTCTATAAAGAAGAAGAAAGATGCCATGTGCAGATTGTGCTTAAAAAAAGAATATTATGAATTAGAATGTATAAAGAATAAAGTTGTAGACCAAAAAAAAATCCCCCATATAGAGAAAGGAAGACTGACAATTTCAAGCTAGAAAATATGACTCCTGAATAGCAAGATCAAATAAAAAGTATTAAGTCAATTTAAGAACATTTTTACCCATAGAACTAACTAGTTAGAAAAAACATCTATTATGCAATATAAAATTTATACAGAGAAAGGTCCCTCTGTAAAGCAATAGTTTTATGCCATATCCAAAATAAAGCATAAGTTCATCAGCTAAGAAATTAAGAGAATGAAAAAGCTGAGTTAATATGACCATGTGTAGCCCATAGGCATTTTCTGTCATATTGGTTAGAAGAAAAATAGGAAAATGAGGCTGTGTTGATTTTTGAAAGCTACATTAATAAACTAAATATAATAGTTACTTAATTCTAAGAATTAATAAGTTATTGGGAGTTCTTATAAACTTGACCTGACATACCATTCTGAACCTTGCCAGTAAATTCTAGAGAGTTAGAGTTCATTTACATAATTATAAAAAGATGGCATTTATAACAAAATTTAGACTTTTAAGTTTGTAGTAATGCCTTTTATCCTAACAAATGCTCTGTTACTTTCCAGTAATTAATAGATTATATACTTCAAAAGAAGATATAGAATTTCATTTTGGTCTATATAGATGATATCAACATCTATTCTTTTAGTTTTGAAAAACACTTGAGCTATGTGTATGTTATTTTTGATGAATTGTGCCAAGTGAATCTGAAGTTGAACTTAGACAAATGTTATTTTGAACAAGACTGAATAGAGTTTCAGAGTCATAAATTTCTGGCAAAGATATAACTCCAACTACAACAAAAGTAGCCATCATAAGTAACTTTTCCAATTCAAAAATCTTTATACATTAAGAGGATTTTTAGGTTTGGTTGTCTTTTATTATTATTTCATTAAAGATTTCTAAGATATAGCTATACCCCTTTACAAACTATTAAAAATAGAAAAAAATTTCATTTGCAAGAAGTAGCAACAAGAATTATTTAATAAATTGAAAAGTAGGCTTACTTTATCACCCATTCTTACTTACTCTCAAGATGATGTTAGATTTGTTTTGTATACAAATGCATTGCATTTTGTTTTTGGTGCTGTTTTATCTTAGCCTTGTGATAATAGACTTAAAGGTGTTATGGAGTATACTAGTAGATTAAAAAAGCTACTAAATGAAATTACACAATAACTAAATTAGAGTGTACTACTATCATTTAGGCTATAAAGAAGTTTTACCAATATCTTTATGGATTCCAATTTATAATAGTAACTGATTATACTGCTTTAACTTACCTTAACAATATGGCTAATTCAACTGATAAGATGGCTAGATATATTATAACTCTTTAGAACTAAGATTTGTAAGAAAGTACTGATCTGAAAGGCAATTGGAGAATATTGACAGACTGTCATAGATAAAGAAGTCTAAATGAAAATATAAAAAAAATAAAAAAACTTTAGTAATAATATGTTAAATGCAAAACACTAAGTGTATAGTAATTTAAGGCAAAATATAAAACATATAGACATAATAGTTAAAAATTAGCTATAACATTTATGCACAGAGCCTAAAGTGTATAAATTAATAGTTTGACATAATAATACTAATGTAACAAACTGCAAAATAATATAACAACTAGAAAAGATATAAAAATAAATTAAAAAAGATTTAACCCCATATGAGTACTCTTAAGCCAGCTATCTGAAGTTGAATTAAATTTATTATTCAAAACTGCTTATAATTAACTATAAGAAGATCTTCAACCCAAATTCATAATCTAATCTAGATGATAGTATTCTGGCATATAAAAAAAAAAAAAAAAACTGACAAGCCAAACAAACTTTTAAAATAAAATCCAAAGATTATACTAACCTAATTTAATATTTAATTAAGTTAGAACTGCCAAGAAAATACTCAAAAAAACAAAACCAAAAGTTGAAGAATCAGTTCAGACATTATATTGTATAGAAAGGAGTGCTGTATCAAAAGAATCATTAAGAGCCTAATTGACCTTTAAGAGTATTAAAGTGTAAAGAAATAAGGATAGTGCTGAGAGCTTTATATAATAACCTTACATTTGGCTATTTAGATGAAGAAGCCACTATAGAGAAGGCATGAAGGTATTACTACTAGAGTCAAATGATAGAAGATATTAAGAGTTATATATGGAGTTGTAATGCCTGTCAACATTATAGAAAACCAAAAACACAAGAAATGTTGTACCTAATACAAGTGACTTAATTATTTAACCAAGTAAGAATAGATATAGTAGGGTCCTTGTCTCTTATAAAAAATGATAACAGATACCTAGTTGTAGCAATAGAGTATTTAACAAAATAGTCTAAGGTTTGAGCACTGTCTAACTATACAGCAGAGTCTGTTGCTGCCTTTGTATTGGAAGATAAAGTTGGTTAGCACAGTTGCTTCTGACAAATTTTGATAGTTCAAGGTTCTTATTTTAAGAACTAGTTTCTAGAGTTGGCCTGTATCAAGGCTGCTATCATGCACTAATTCTCATTTATGTATCATCTTCAGACCAACAGTCTTGTTGAATTGTTCAATTGAACTATTTGTGAGGCATTAGCAAAGTGTATAAGTAAATACCAGAAAGACTAAAATAATATATAAGCCCTGTTCTATTTAACTGCATGACCATCAAGCATAATAAGATCCAATATAATCTCTTTTATCTTATGTATAGAAGAAAGTCTGTGTTACCAATAAAACTGCTGCTAGAAACTTGTTTTAAAGATTCTATAGATAATAATTATTATAAGTTAATAGTTTTGGACTAAACTTTAAGGTTGGTGAACAAACTGTTTAAAGTCTGGATTAAGGCATATAAGAAAATTTACAAGGCTCAACAAAAGCAAAAGTGGAGCTATAACCAAAGTACTTTTTGCAAAGCTTCAGAATCAAATATAAAGTATTGAGGTATCAGGCAAAGCTGAAAAAACAATTGGATAACAAATTAGAAAAAAAATAGTCAAAGCCATACTAGGTGCATGATGTAATGAGAAATGGTATATATTAATTATAAACAATAGAAAATGATAAAAAAGTAATAAAAAAGGCAGTGTATAGTAGTTAATTAAAATGCTACAATACATATAATAATAAGAAAATAAGGTAATAATAAAAATACAAAATAAAATAAATTTTATATAATATAAAAAAAAAAAAAAAGAATAAAATGATATTTTGAAATCTTAAAAAAAATGATTCAGCAACTTGTTGACTGAATAGAACCTGATGAAGAGCTAAAGGTTAAAGAGAAGAAAGTAATCTTTTAATACCAAGATTATGAGCTTTATAAAGAGTTTGAAAGAATGCAAAAAAGGATCAAGATTTAGCAAATCCATGATCATTTGGCTCTGTATCTTCAAGATCTAAACTATCTCATAGAAACTGAACTTGCAATGCCTATTAAGGCCACTAATAAAACCTGAAGTAATAAACTAAGTAACATGTATAGTAATATTAAAGACCTGAATTTAGAAACCCAATAAATAGCTGAAGTATTGGAGACCTACTACAAAGTATGAAGTTTGCTGTTCAAAAAAGGCTGAGGTGACAAAGTACACAAAGAATTGGCCAAATGACTCTTAGCCTTCAAGGTATGTTTGCTGTATAAAATTGCAAAACAAGTGTATATATTATTTACATTGTAGAGTGATTAGTATATACATTAAGTTTAACATATATTGATTTTGTGCAAGAATGAAAGTTGAAGTAAGCTTTTTTTGAGGCAATGTTGATAGAAGCAAAGTGGTTAAAAGAAAAAAAAATTTAGAGAATAATGGTAAGTTTGCAAGAGTTTACTCTTTGAGCAAGAGAAAATGGTACAAAATCTTTGTACTTTTTGCATTGTTTTTTATTATCTGTTCTTATTTATAAGTTAGTATAACATAGTAATAAAGTTCAAAAGAGGTGTAATGAACTAGTAAAATGAATAGATTGTTAATCTCCAAGTGGCAGGTCTAAGGTTTAATTTCCACAAATAATGAATTTTGAAAATTATAACTAAGTTATAGTAACTGTTTCTTGTTGATTAGTTGGATTTATGCATCTGTAATCTTAGATGCACCAGGTTGGGGCTTACCTAATTTTGGATTTTAAAGCATCTATGTAAAGTGTAATGTTTTATATATATAGAAGAATATAAAAACTGAGTTGCATAAGGCTTTAGTACAAATCTGTAATAAAATTACTAGGTGTAAAAAACCAATAAACTAAGAAAACAGAAGCTTACTTGGAAATTCTAAGTAAAGAGGTAGTACAAACTTTTAATAGTGCTATTGGACTGATAGAAATCTATAAAACACCTTTATAAAAATTGTCAAATGAACCAGATGACAAGATGTATAGAGAAGCATATAAACAACTAGCTTACTAAAATTGCTAAAGAAAAAGAATTTATAAGTATATCATATTAAGCCATCTGAATTGAAAGTCTAGAAAGTCTGTTAGTTCTAAGTTGTGACTAGTAGAAAATAATAGAGAAGACATCAGAAAAATGAGTACTAGGATTTGAATGAACTTTACAAGAGTAATAACAGTTTAATAGATAATTCTGACTGCAAATGTTGGTCTTGGTCATAGTAAAAAATCTAGATTAGAATAAATAGAGAATATATAGCTTGCTTTAGTAAATTTATCTTGAGAATAAAATTATCTTAATGTTGAAACAATGATCTAGGTACAAGTAATCTAGTGAAGTTAGTATAAGTGTTTTGGACCAAAAAGTTTAAATAAAACATTTAAGCAGAGGTGTATTGTATGGCAACTGATAAAAAACCTTTGAATAATCTTTTTAAATAGGTAATATAGAAAACCTACATATGTAGTCAGTTGTATACTCATCATAATGCTTGACAAAAGTATTAATAAAATCAAAAAACCAAAGTGAGTCATCTTAAAAATCAAAAAAAAAAAAATAAGGTTCAAAACCTTAGTATAAGATATGAGACTTTTTAATATCTGTTTATATATATAAATTAGTATAGCATAGTAATAGAATTCAAAACTTCAATTTAGGGTATAAAACACTGTAAATTTATATGCATTGCATAATTCACAGTTAGCATAATGTAGTAATAGGATTTAATACCTTAGTATTGGTATTAAGATCCTAATCTAGAGTTTTTAATTCTAATTACAAATTTAAGACCCTAGCAGGATATTTGAAATCCAATATTTAAAATTTTATAAAGAGAATATATGCTTAATAAATAAAGATTTATTTTACTAAATCAATAAATATATATAATATAAACTAAGACCCTACTTGTACTTAAAGTAATAAGTGATAGTCTTGTATAGTATAGTCTAATATTGACCTCTAACCTTTATATTGTTATTTAAAGACTGATAATCTGTTAGTATTAGTCATATAACTCATGATGACCTATTAGTAATCTAGTAATTAGAACTACACTCAGACTAGTCTCATCAATTAATCAATAGTCAAGTTGAAAATATGTCTATGCTTGTAGTATTGTGCTAAAACTGGCAACATATAAGAAAGGCTCTCACTAACTACAACAGTAGGTATTTTATATTAGTAAGTTGAAAAGAGAATAAAAAAAGAGAATTCAAATTTGAAAATTTTTTTCTAAATTACAAATGTAATTGTAAGTATTAATTTTATAAGTATAGTAGATAAAAACAAAAGTTATACTGTAAAGATATTACTAAAATAGCACTAGAGAGTAACAAGAATGATTAGAGTTACTAATGTGACTTAGATACTAAATACAAATAAAATTTGAAGTATAAATTACTGTGTACTATTAGTAAGGACTAAATATAGTTATAATAGATTGTGTTAAATAAATATCTATAAATAGGTTGGTTATAAAATATTAATATAAATTAATAAAATATGAATTAGAAAATAACAGTATATTTATATGAATAATATGTAAAGAGAAAAAAAGATAGAGTGAAAACAAAAATAGAAAAAAAGTTTTGTAAAAAAGTAAATATTAAATTTAATTGTAGTTTGATCAATATTTAGTAAAAAAGC